AACCACTGATCAACACAATGAATCCAGCTGCTGCGAATTTCTGAAGGCAGAAATGACATAAAGCTGTTAGCATCAGCATACTGAGGTTTTGTCAAACAAGTCCAGACGACAGCAGGCCAGGCATACTTCCAAGAAGGGCTGGCCTTTTCACTGGGTGTAGGTGGACAAACATACAACGTACACAATGTACATGCCAAACGCCCTTCAACCATGCCTGTTTTATCACCAAAGGCACGCCGGCTCAATCGATGACATGCCTCATGAAGCGTAAGTGCTATCAACGTCACTGTGTATGATGGTGTTGTGCAACGATGACAAACACTACAAGCATCAATGACGAGTATCACATCTACTACAGGGTCTTCTATATGCCCAACTACATCATTGTTGATATCAGCACCAACAACAACATTCTCCGCAATAACACAAAACGGCTGCTCCTGTTCTTCTGGCATTTCTGCAGCTCGATCAATGGCAGACACAGGCAATCGCAGCTCCTGTTGTTGCGCCAATTCTCGCACTGCATTGCCACCAGGCACATCTGCACGTGTTTCTCCACTGTCAACATCCTATAAACACACAAGTCAAAATCACATGTTAGTCATGAAGCAGCCGGGAATGAGCAGAAATGGAATTGGCATTTGCAACATGCAGCAATAATTGTAAAACAGACAAAGTAACACAAGTTGTAAACAGTTGAACCTACCAATATCATTTCTGACATGCACATTACATTATGTCCATTATATGAATAATATGCATGCATCAACAAATCATATCCTTCATATCAATGAATTATATGACATGCACAACATCTATATAAAACTTGAAAGTGCACTTCTAGCCAACGACATGTATCACCGACGATCTAGTAAGAATGAAACATGTATACCTTTTGCTACGCATAACACGTTCTCGTGAACATCTGTAAGAATACTAAGTGTGCTTGCACAACATCACTTACACGAACCCTTACAGAGCGGCAGGCAAATATGGTCAACGTCAAAGTCAACTAAACGTCGCACTGACAGAAGGAAATTGCTTTCCGCACCGTTTGCAACGTTTACATGTCACTACATGTAATATAAATGTCAGTTCGTATGTATCTATGTATGTATGTATGTATGTATCTTGCCTATAGGCGGCCAAACCGCAGAAGCGATCTGCATGCAATTTTCACAGGGCCATCTCTTACATAAAGGACGAGTCGTTTTTTGGTCTGTCTGTCTGTCTATCTTCTCCCACCCCGTAAGAGGTCACCCCCAACACGATATATATTCTGAATCAGCATGACGCGATGACCATTTCAGGGCAAAAAAAATTAACAACATGAAAAAACTAAAAAAATCTCAAATAAAAATTAAAATGTAGAATAAGCTAACACAGTTGGGTGCGACTTGACTAAACCTACAACTACTAACAGCATTAACTCTAATTAAAACGTATGAGTTATGATGTTAATCTCTTACATAAAGGGCGAGTCGTTTTTCGGTCTGTCTGTCTGTCTATCTTCTCCCAACCCATAAGAGGTCACCCCTAACACGATATATATTCTGAATCAGCATGACCAGGGAGTCTATAATAGGGGGAGGTGCCACTCTGTATATTTCCCTATGTAATCATTTATGCAGTGGCGCCCCTAGTGGTCGGTTGTGCAAACTACCATAGTACTGTATTATTTAACCCAAGATACTAACATTATAAAACACCTGGCTTAATTGCTGTATTATATCTGGCATTTCTTTTATGTGCTTTAGTACAATAAATAAGAGTTTGAATTAGTACTGCTATTGGTGTTTTTTATTCATCAATCTGACACTTATACTTAAGTACTAATATGTACACAGAATGTTTATAGATGCAGGATTTTCAGCATTTTTCTATTTTTTTTCTTAGTCGCTGTGGACATACCATCAGATGCTGCTTTCTCAGCCTTTAAATCACGGTTGTTGTTAAACTTGATTATTGCATGTAATCTAATGGTCAAATAAATATCACATATCATTTTCACAGTTTGGTCACAGAGGTCATCCTGGACACCAATCTGCTTACACAATAGACTGCTAAGCCGCCGCTTGATACCTGTCAGATGAGCCACACCATCAATCTTGTTCATGAATTCATTTTCACATTTAACCATTATCTCCATCATCTTAGGACTAGGAACTACTAAGCCACCAGTACAATCTGATCTCAATTCACATAGCGCCTTGTAATGGATGAATGTTTGCTCAGGTGTGTTCATATATGGTGACCTAAGTTTTGATATGCAGTCATTATTACACTCTGTATGCCTGGTTCCCAATTTCTTCACAACATATCCACTAATATATTGAAGGACATTTTGTGTGGGCAATGAAGACATAACATCACTGATACCCGCAATCAGTACACTGCGTAGTGGAACGGGTCCATACCTATGTGTCCCGGTACCTATGTGTCCCGGTACCTATGTGTCCCGGTACCTATGTG